CAAGTAAATTCGCCGGCCGGAGAATCGGAGATAGTGTTGGAAAGTTTTGAGAACCGTAAAGTTGTGATTTTTGCTTTCGAAGGAGATACTTACCGGTCTACTGTAAACCATATATAGTAAACCGAGTTACATGTCAAAAAACAAATTGGCACCTATTGCAGTATTTATTTAGTTTATTTGGTTAATCTTCAGGCACAAACTGAAATAGTTTGGGCAAGATGCATGTATACTATAAAGCTGCATTACAATAAAGTTATCTATTACATCTTTACCAATGATTATAAACTATATAACATTTCTCAATATTCATACACTTGAGCAGCTTTTAGTGAAGCAAGTTCATCGCAATCCGCTGGGATCCATCCGATTGATTGTTTCTCGTTATCGTAGATTATCATTTGATCTTGCATCGATATATCTGCCAAAGAAAAGAGAGAACAAGAGGAATTAATATGTATAAATCGCTAAACCGAGATCCGGAAATCGCATATGGATGTAACGAAGACTGTACCGCCGATGAGGTTTAGGTTCTGGAGACCTATTTCTGTGCCATTCAAGATTCCTAAGCATACATTCCCCTTCATCTGCAACATTTTCATAACACCATATTTTTAGCATTGTACCCGACGAAACAGAGAAGTCGAAAGAAAATTGCTTACAGAAATGATTAGATAAGCTTCAGGGGGTATTTGAAACAGAGTTTTCGATCTCCAGCCGGTTTTGAAGCTTAAAGCTAGAGGCTTAAAATACTTCTTGACATCTTCAATGCTCATGAACGGTCTACGTCCTTGCCAACATAGAGGCAGCGTGTGATCATCCCGTGCTTCTTTCAACGGTTTTCCGCTTAGCTCCTTTTTTAGCTACCAAAGGACAAAAAAGACTTGATGAGAGAAAAAGCGGTTTCTTCTCTCTTTTATCTTCCAAGGTTTTAGAAAGTTACTTACCAAATATGTTACTGCCTGGTATGCCTTGGAATTAAAATATGTGTAAGAACTGCCGCTGTCAAATACCGTCAATAGATTCTTCAGTCCCGTTGTTTTTCCCCCGAATAGAAGTTCCCCTCCCATCGCAGGAGAGTAGTGTTTTCTGAGGAAAAAATTGTTGCAAAATTAGGAGCAAGAATAGAGACAAGAGTGATCCGGTTATTAACAAAGAGAAGAGGTAAATTACGAGTTTTCACGGGACATGGGTGTCCACGAGACTCTTGAAGAATCATAAAGATCGTTGCCAAAAAAGAGAATTCCTCCACCTAGACTGCTTAAGCAATGACCGATAACATTCTTGACATAACCTTGGCTATGCAGCTGTGACAAAATGCTTACTTTTCCTCTACCAAGCCCCAATACTCCATCTAGAGGATGATGACTCGAAGCCCCTGGGATTTGATCGTATCCACATCTGTTACAACAAATACTCCAATGAGAATTACTAGCTAAGAAACTAATTCCTCGAACCAAAGTGAAAATTGTCGGTCCAAAGATATATACCCAAGAGCAAGACGAGGGGTGAGTCGGAGACTGTTTGTATAGTTCAAAGAGAAGACATCTCTAACGAGAACACCGAGAGAAGATCCTCCATCAGCATACTCAACCTCATAGTCACATTGCTCCGGAGTCTCACATCTCTGGTTACCATTTGAATGCAATGCATTACACAATGGATCATTGCAAGGAATGAGATCGCTACTAGGCTGATAAAGTGGATGAGGAGCCTGAAAAAAACCCAAAACAACGATTAGCTAATTTGCAAGATGAAACTACGACATTGGATCCAGAAAGAAAAACAAAATTAAAGATGATATAATCATTATAATACCTCCAAGCAACGAACACAAGGAGCATCACATTGGAGCCAAGTCAGATCACTACCAGTGTCAAGATCAAGATAATAAGGCCTTGGTGGTTGTCCTATGTTGATTGTAACATTATAATACCTGTTCCAAACCAAAGAAGAAACAATTTAGAAGAGTTTCTGAATTGAGAGCAATGATTTTGTGAAAGTTTGGTCTGAAAATATGAACATACCCCAGAGGATAAACGTTTCCATGAACTGGGAATACAACTGAAGAGACAGCTCTGGTGAAAAATCCGGCCGTTTTCCTCCATCTGAAATCAACGGCCGACGAAAAACCGAGAAACAGAGACATCACAACCAACACAATCATAAAACGAACGTTCATTTTCTCCATCTTTCAAGGCTTGCGGAGAAAAAAAATAAAATAAGAGAATAATTATTTGTGAATAGCCAATCAAGTGATGGTGATGATGAAGTTGGAAAACGACAAAGATGAAGACATTTACGAGTTTGAAAGATATTTATTACGAAGAATTGTCTTTTTGTTTGAAGTTTTTGCAATAGCAAAGAAAGATTATTTTTTTGGGTTTGCCATAAGTAGAGAGGTAAGGATTCTTGGCTTAAACCAAAGGACTTAAGGGAAAAAAAATATTCCAGGTTGTTTCTTAGTATCTGAGAAAATCATGAATCGAGTTAAGGAATATTTGTTGATGAGAAAGAGTATAGCCCAAAGTATATCTTGCAGCTGAAGTAAACAATCTTGTTGGCATCTTTCTTCGATTCAAATTGAGACAGAACAATGATCATTCAAAGATTCTGTAATTCATTCTAGTGAAGAAGCACCTTTTCACA